TATATATATATATAAATTCGCAAAAAAATATTATTTTTTTCGTCCATTATTTTGAGAGCAGCTATACAATGTCATTTTTCCCCTTTTTAATGCACCAAATTAAAGCATAAAAAACCTGCATAAGTGTGATTTTATAAGCTTTACGAACTTTTAGGCACGTGGCTAACTTAATTAAGTAATATACACACCTTCGAAAAGTTAGAAGTCACTTTACTTCACTACACTACTTAGATATTATCCTAAAGTCTGTCAACATATGCTTTTTTACTCTTAATAATTTTCCTTTGATAAAACTTCGTTTCCTTTGTTAAAATTAGCTACCTTTCTAAACTTCCAATTATTGTCGAACGAATATTTTTACGTAGTCGAGTCAGTTGTGGTATCTGTGAAAATTCCTTTTTACCTAACCTTTGAGGAAACTCATACATTTTGAGATGTATTTGTTTTGTTTGATACGAATAAATGTCTTTAAAAAAGGAATCAGAATTGATTTGATGATCATTTGTATGCAGAGCATGATAAGGACATTTCATCTAATTATGCAAAATTATAAAACATGCAAACAGAAATGGATACAGCTTATTCCCAATAAGTCCAATTAAACCCAAAAATCTGATAGGGGGCGTATCCACCTTATACCATGCGGTGTCATGGAATATCATCATTTGATCGAAATTTTTCACTTGATATTTATAATAAAAATGAAAATATTGGAGATATATATAAAAAATGGCACCACTTATCGTTATAGTGATTTATTTATTTGTCTATTTCTTCAAATTATGACAGTGGTATGTAAAATCCTGTGTATACCATAAATTTGACAAGCAATATTAATATATTGGTAAAACACCGTCAAGTTTTAATTAAGTAGAGGGAAAATGTCAATATTATTGCTCATATGGATAGGTAAGTCTTTAGTTACAGAAGAATTAAAAACACGTTTGTAGTAAGTAGGAGTGGCAAAATGGGCGGGTCGGAAATGGTTCGGGTTGAAGACTGTTAATGAAAAAAAGATAAATTATTCGATCCGACCCATATTTAATACAGATAAAAAAGGGTTAACCGTGATCCCTTTTGGGAGAATTCTTAGTCTCTCTAACTTGAAGAACCCGCAATTTAAGGCTTTACAAATGTAAAAGTTAGACCCATTGGTAACCCATTATGTTATCCATTTTCTAAATGAATAATTCTTATTCATATTTGACCCGTTTTTAAAAATTCATTATCCAATCCATTTTTTAGTTAATAATATGGGTGGTTAACTGTTTAACCATTTTGCCAACCTAGCAGTAAGAATAGAGGAAATAAACTGAGAGATTAATCTTATCTCAGTCAGTGGCTTTTTGTAGACAAACTCTAACATAAAAAAAGGAAAAAACATTTTTCTCCATCTTATTCATGCTATAAACGCTAGTTACTTCAGAAGAAGTACAAAATGTGTTAATTTAAGCCACATAAAGGTATGTGATTTCACATATTCACTTGACAAAATTAATGGATAGAGTTAATTAAACTATATGCGACTAGAAAAATACTTTAATATGTAGAAAGTTGATAGAAATAGTGGTCGGACTTAGCGTGTTGTCACAAAAAGAATACTAAAGTAGTCGTGCCAATCTATTCCTCTTTTCCTTTTTGTATCTTTTTTATATTATATTAGTCAAATAAAGTTATTGTCAATCAAAAAAATTGGAGATTCATTAAGCAATGGACAAATCAAAAAATGTTTTACTAGTAAAAATATTGAATTCAACTTTTGTATATGTGCTTATAACGTAAAGTATTTTGTACCATAAGATAACATGGCATATAGTAACAAGTAACTATTTTAGTAATTCTAACTTGATAACTTCGAAAATATATGATATATCAGCTATAACCTGGCCTATAACAATTAACAACAAATAACTATTTTAGTAGCTAGTTCTAACCTAAACACCTGATGAAAATCCATTAGTTATAACCATCCATAGCGGAGTCACCTTAGTGTAAATGATGTCAATTAATACTCTTTGTCCTAAAATTATATTGTATAGTAAGGTAAAAAAATATTTTTATTTATATATACTGCCCCTTTAATGTCTTTGTGTATTACTTCCTTCGGTTCACAATAAGTGTCCAATTTGCTTTTTTATTTTGATTCAAAATAAGTGTCTAGTTATGTAATCAAGAAAGAATTCAATTTGCTTTTACAAAATAACTCCTATGTACATATCCCTAAAAAAGTTTTCTTTCTTCTCACATTAAATGTTTAATTAGGGGTAGTTTAGTCATAGTATGTATTTTTGTATGGAATTTAATATTTTTTTAATGGGTGTGCTAAAAGCAAATTGGATACTTATTATGAACCGGAGGAACTAGTATTTCTTTACATTTTAATATTCCTTTTAGTAAAAATTTTTGCTCCGACACCGAAAACCATGTAAATATTTGATGGACCCAAAGTATATATATAAACTATTAGCCTGTTTGGCCAAGCTGGAGAAATCAGCTTATTTTGAGAAGTGCTTTTGAAAAAAGTACTTTTGGAGAGAATCAGTTTGTGTTTGGCTAATCAGTCTGAAAAGCACTTTTGAGAAATAATTTGTGTTTGGCCAAGCTTTTTAGAAAGTGCTTTTAAGTGTCAAATTACGAATAAGGGTATGAATAGATTTACTTAATAATTAATATTATAAGTAAATAAATAATATCAAAATTTTGTTATTACATGCAATAATTAAAAAAAATTCATTTTATTTAAGTAAAATATGAAAATAAAATTAAAAAGTTCTTAATTCTTTTAATATAAGTTAAATATATTAAAATTCCTTCAACAAATATAAAAGCATTCACCCCTAAAGACACTATATATTAGAAAGTTTCCTAAAAATAAGAAGAAATATTTATAAATTAATATCCTAAGTATTAGGTTTAAGGGTTATTTTGGTATATACTATATTTTGTTAAGGGTATTTTAGGTAAGAAGAAAAGCCAAAACTGCTTCTGCTTCTGCTTTTGGAAAGAAACTACTTTTTTCTGTTTCTTTGAAACTGCTTCTGTTTCTTCCCAAAAACACTTTTTTTCCCAAATAAGCTTGGTCAAACACCTTGAATTAGGAAAAAAAAAAGTGCTTTTGAAAAAAAAAACACTTTTTTTTGTCTTGAGAAGCTTGGCAAAACAGGCTATATATCTATAATAAGTCATTAATTTTAGGATAATTGTTTATTCGGCAAAGGGCCAAATATATCCCTCTACTTTCAAATATTGTTTACATATAACCTTCGTTATATTATTGGGTCATCCATATCCCTATCATCATACTTTGGAACAAAAATACCCCTATTTTGGATGGAGTGCCACATGGTAGCACCAGATTAAAATGACCCGTTTCTTTTTTTTTACCCAACCCGTTTTACAAAAAACCCACAACCCGAACCATATTTTCATTTTTCAGTTTTTTAAAGAATTTTTTTTTTTGTAAAACTTAAAAAAAAATTGTAAAATATTTTTGTTTTTTAAACTGAGTAGATACTGAAAAGATTTCGCAAAACATATTGTAAAAACTGAAAAAAATTGTTTTCTAACAAAATATATTTTTTGCAAAAACTGTAAAAACTCAAAAAAGAAATTGTAAAAACTGAAAAAAAAATCCAGTTTTTAACAAAATATTTTCGTTTTTTTAAAACTGAAAAAAATATTTCCAACAAAATATTTTCGTTTTTGAAAAATATTTTTTTTTCAGTTTTTTTAAAGATTTTCTTTTTGTAAAAACTGAAAAAATAAATTTGTATAAACTGAATTTTTTTTTATAAAAACAGAAAAAAATATTTTTGTTTTTTAACAAAATACTTTCGTTTTTTAAAAACTGAAAAATTATTTTCAACAAAATATTTTCGTTTTTGAAAAATAATTTTTTTTTCATTTCTTTAAAAGAAGTTTGTTTTGTAAAAACTGGAAAAACGAATTTGTAAAAACAGATTTTTTTTTTTGTTTTTTAACAAAATATTTTTGTTTTTTAACAAAATATTTTCGTGTTTTAAAAACTGAAATTTAAAAAGAAAAATTGGAAAATAATGAAAATAGGGGTCGGGTTGTGGGTTTTTCTAAAAGCGGGTCGGGTAAAAAAATAGAAATGGATCGTTTTAATCTGGTGTTGTCACGTGACACTTCATCCAAAATAGGGGTATTTTTGTTTCAAAGTATGATGGTAGGGGTATAGATAACCTAATAGTATGACGGTAAGGATATAGATAACCCAATAATATAACAAGAGGTAGAGGTAAATAATATTTGAAAGTAAAGAAGTATATTTAACCATTTGCCGTTGTTTATTTATATATTGAATTGAACGTTAAGATACCAAAAAATGCCCTATACCATGTATATATACACCCCTCTAAATTAAAGAACCACTCCTATCTTTCCTTTTTTTTTCCCCTCTTCTCTTCAGATCTTCATCTCTCTTCTTTCGCCGGCAAAAATGAAGTTCTCGCCGGCGGCACCACTCTCCCTCTCTCTCCTCCTCCTCCTACTCTTCTCCGCCACCACCTCCGCTCACAACATCACTAAAATCCTCGCCAAACACCCCGAATTCTCCACCTTCAACCACTACTTAACCGTCACACACTTAGCCGCAGAAATCAACCGCCGACAAACCATCACCGTCTGCGCCATCGACAATGCCGCCATGAACGAACTCCTCGAAAAACACCTCCCTACTTACACACTCAAAAACGTCCTATCCCTTCACGTATTCGCCGATTACTTCGGCGCTAAGAAACTTCACCAAATTACAAAAGGCAGTACCTTAACCGCCACCATGTTTCAAGCCACCGGCGAAGCTCCGGGAACCTCCGGTTACATCAACATCACCAACATGAAAGGAGGTAAAGTAGGTTTCGCAAATGAAGACAACGACGGCCATTTCACCGCCACGTTCGTTAAAACCGTACTAGAAATGCCGTACAACATTTCGGTTATTCAAATCAGCCATGTTTTAACTTCAGCCGCCGCCGAAGCTCCTGTTGCTGCGCCCAGTGACTTAAACATCACAACCCTAATGTCCGAACAAGGATGCAAAGCATTTTCCGATTTATTAAAATCTCACCTAGATGTTTCAAAAACATTTGCAGAAAATGTAGAAAGTGGATTAACAGTGTTTTGTCCTACAGATGGAGTTTTAAACGGTTTCATGCCGAAATTCAAGAAGTTGACTAAAGACGGTCAAGCTTCTTTATTATTATACCACGGTGTTCCTGTTTACAATTCTTTAGGTATGTTGAAATCCAACAATGGATTAATGAACACTTTAGCTACTGAGGGGAAAAATAAGTACGATTTCACTGTACAAAATGACGGAGATGATGTTATGTTAAAGACCAAGGTTGTTACAGCGACAATATCTGGAACATTGTACGATGAGGAACCATTGTCGGTTTATAAAGTTGATAAAGTTTTATTGCCACGGGAACTGTTTAAAGCAGTAGCAGAAGAACCAGCACCGGCACCAAAGGGTTCAAAAAAGAAGAAGAGTAAAAAAGGCGGCGGCGACGATATAGAGGACGATAGTGCACCGGAGCCTAGCCCGGAGGACGACGATGCTCCGGCGGATGAGTCGGAAAACTTGAACGGAGCTATTAGTGTGAAAAGTAGTGGGTGGTTGGTTACAGTTGTTTTGAGTGTTATTTGTGTGGCCTTTATTTGATAATTTGGACCATATAGTGAGTCTATACCTTTTGTTTTGGTATGCACATAGATATGATTTTTGCTTTTCATCACAGGTTTTTTTTTTTGGTAATTTGATTGTATTGTGCAATTTTTTTCTTTCTCCACATTGTATTTTGTAATGAAAAAAAAAAGCAATAAATTGCGCGTTTTTTCCACTTAAATTTATAAATATTCGATTTATTTCTAAGCATTTTGCAAATATTTTCTATAACGCCTTCTGTTTGTAGATATATAGAAATAAAGGAAAAAATAAGGTCCAAAGTGCTCACCTACAGCGAGATAATCCAGTCTATCTCGATTAGGATGATAAAAACTCGTCTTTAATTAAAATTTGAATATGCGGGAAAATCTTAATAAAAAGAGGCTCCATCTAATGTTTATCTTAATTCATTTTCTCTTTATTCTTAGTGGGAGTTTGGACATGTAAAATTTCGGAAAAGAATAAATTTTTTCGAAGTGAAAATGATATTCAAAAATTAGAGTTGTGTTTGAACATGAATATAATTTTGGGTTGTTTTTGAATTTTGTAAGTGATGTGAAGTGAAAATTCTAAAAAAAATAACTTTTTAAAGTTTTTTTTTTAAATTTTTAAAAAATTTCGAAATTCATCTGAAAGTGAAAATTGAGAATTTCACGGTCAAACATTAATTTTAAAAAAATGTGAAAATTTTCTGAAAAAAAAAAATAAAAATTTATTGCCAAACGAGCCCTTAGAATGAAAACATATGCATGTGGAGGTTAGCGTGGGACGAAACGCAGAAAAATAAGGGCTTGTTTGGTATGAAGTATAAGAAGGTATAAGGGCGATATAAAAATTTAATATCACCTTAATACCATGTTTGGTTAGCAAATCAGGTATAAGTTATTTCGGTGTTAATTTTAACACCGAGATAACTCATACCTTATAGAGGGTGGAGTAATTAGCACCGGTATAACTTATACCTTCTTCTTAGAAATTATACAATTGTCATTCTTAATACACTATATCAAACAATGAATAAACAACAATCCCAATATAACTAATTCCAGTAAAATTTATCCCAACATAACTTATATCGACATAATTTGTACCGGCATAATCCGTATTCCAACCAAACGATCCATAAGAGTACTTCACATGTGTCGGTGGAAAGGAAATTGGTTTCCTTTTTCACAGAAAAAGAAAAGAATAAGATCTTCATAATAAATAATGGCAACAAAAAGAAGAAGAAGAATAAAGTAGTTCATTTTAATGCGTATTTAGATAGCTTATATGTTTGCTTTTAGTGTGTTGATGACATATCAATTATATTTATTCTGAATAGATCTATGTCATTTTCGCACCTAAAGGGCAAATGATCCGTTGTAATTAATCACCTTAAATAATTGAAAGTTTGAATAATGTATACAACAATTAAAAATCAGACTCGAAATAATTGCTATATGATGAGATTTAGACGTGGCCTAGTGTCGGTGCCCTCTTTTAATTCTTTTTTTAATATGGAGTTATTGAATTTTATATTTTGGGGTTGGTGAATGTGTAGTAATGACCAGTTGGCAAATTGCAACCTTAAAAGATTGCAGTAGTTTGATAAGTACTTTTTTATCTTTAATAAAATATTTTGGGTTAGGAAGCATTTTACTTTTAATATAAAATTTTCCGGAGCGAGAGCGAATCCAAATTTAATTAGGCATCAATACCAATATTCAGTAGTAAAAAAAAAATTAGCAAATTGCATATCTCCAAGAAAGACAAGTTACATGTTAAATCAACCCCACTGCTCCAGCTATTCAATGTATCACAGTATCCTACACAAATAAATACATTAATATTAGTATATACCTACTATTAAAACATTTTCTCTGTTGTAATGCAGGCATAAGTTAAATTAAATATTTCATTTTTACCTTTTTTTAACCGTCTCTTGAATTTAGCCTCGAAATATGAGAGATGCGTCCATTTCCTTGTCAAACACGTAACTAATACAGCTTGTTGAGCTCTAATCAATTTGGCGTGGCTCGGACTCTGATTCTCCTCTTGGCTAATTATAGCATAAGTCACATTAGCAGTCGCAACTAGCCTTTTTGCCAACACATTATTGTGTATATTGCTGTAACTTTCGTTTAATCCCATAAGAAATTGCAACCGCCTTATGTTTTTGAAATGATCTACAGAAAGTTTAGATTTTTCACAATCACAAGAGGGCAAAGGGACTAATACATCAAGTTCATCCCATAAATTCTTCATTTTCGAATAATAGCTAGTGACTGAGTCCATACCTTGCCTAAAAGTCACAATTGCAGTACACAGATGATAAATTCCGGTGGGATTAGATCTGTCAAATCTCTCCTGAAAATAGTTCCAAACTTTCTTCGCATTTGACGCGTATACAATACTCGGCATCAATTCACTTGACACTGCTTCCAATCCATGTCAACACAATAGCATTACACTTTTCCCATTTCTCTGCCAATTCTCCTTTGTAATTGCTTTTCACACAAGTACCGTCTACAAAATCAATCTTACTCTTTCCTCGTAGTGCTAGCTTCGTCACTCTGCTACAAAGGGCATAATTTTCTGACCCTGTGAGTTTAAGCGGTATCAATACGAGTCCCGAAGAATCTCCACCCAAGTGAGGCAACATCATTTTCGGCCATGGCTGCTCAAAAACAGAGCTTCGTTAGTGCTTTGTTTCCTGATTTCCGGCGGAGCTTAGATTAGAGCTGTAAATCCTATGATCGGTGCTCTGATACTATGATAGAATCTATCAAATCTTCTACTCTAAATGTCATGTAAGTGAGGGAAAATAGAAATTGAGAGAAAGAGGAAGAAGAAGATCTATTATTGTTCGATTGATCATAATACAAGGGGAGAGGTTGTTTTATATTGGTGGTTAGTAGTTGACGGATGTACCTAACTAACCACTTAACTGACTAACTTTTCTAATTACATAATGAATCCATTCTTTTATACACACACATACATGTCGCGCCCGTTTTTTCTCGCGAAAGTGCGCTTCGACGTATGACAACTCCTTTAAATGGAAGATAAAGTGTTAAAAGAAGAGTCAACACCTAATGGTTTTAAGGTGCGTTATGGCACCTATTATGCAGATAACTCTGTTTGACTAGTCAATGTCACCAAAGATCGGGTAAGGGCTCACATTACCTCAAATAAAAGGTGTTAGACGCTCTTCGAGGTCCACAACTATGGGTCCGGCTAGAGCTGTCAATATGGGCGGGGTCGGGCTAGCCCAGCCCAGCCCATGTGGGATTTAGCAATTGATAGGTTGGGCTGGGCTAGCCCACCATTTTGATACTCCTTATAATGGTTAGCCCATCCCAGCCCTATGTGTGCTGGGGGCCCCATGGGCCGGCCCATTATTTTTTAAAATATAATTTTATATTTTCTTTAAGTTCTAACCTAAAAAAGATAAATATTTAAAATTTAAATAAATTGATAGGTGTCGCGCCCCCTTTTTCTCGCGAAATCAGGTTTATGACATTTGGAGGGACAACTCGTTCCTTTTGGGAAGTGGGTTTGCATTTGAAGAGTCACCACCTAATGATTAAGGTAAATTAGGACACCAATGTGGTTTGATTTGAATAACTAGAAATGGGGTAAGGGCTTGAAATTATTCTAAGGGGAAGGTGTTAGGCACCCCTCAGAATCCACTAGTGTAGTTCCCAGCCAGACATTTATTGTGAATTCGGGTATAATTAACATATAAGCAAATAAAGCTCAAATAAGAGGGGATTTCAATTCATAATGGTTTGAAAGTAAACAAATTTGAAAGAACGATCAAAGACCTGATTTTTAAATAAAGAGTTACAATGCTAAAAAAGAATAAAGAATAAAGAGGGGGGGGGGGATTCCTAGGTTTATTAAAAATATAGATCACCCCACATAATGTCCGGTAATCACTCCTCAATGAGGGGCTACACGTGACATTATCACATGGTCATCATATCCATATCTATCCTTCCCACCCCGTTAAGGCAACAAAGTGCGGATTGGTCTCGATTACTTATTGCATGCTATTATCGGTCCCATTCCTATCAGTCCCGGAGGCACTTAGGACTACTAATCCTAAAATGGAGGGATATTAGGCTTATTTGAAGTTTCAAAGGTAAAAACTCTAAGACGACATACAAAAAAACACATACTGCATATTAAAGGGGAAACACATAAGCATATAGGCTCAAGTATACCTTCTCAAACAAAACATATAAAATAGCATGTCTTACACATACTGCTTAGGTCTGATTTAAAATACTGAAGATGAGGGAGATTAATTATTGAGGTAGATTAGTTTGTTACATAACTCAAATAAGAAGTCTGAATCAGGCTTGCCTACTGGTTGTAGCGATTAACAAAGCAGATTCAATTTGTAGTTATTACTCTAAGGCTTTCCTAAATGTTTAGGCGGCGTCTTTTAGGCATGCTTGCTAAACCTTATTAAGCGAGGGGATTAAGTTATTAAAAGAGGTTCAGAATATATAAAATTAAAAATTAAAACCGGTTACAGGTTCTGCAGGCGATAGTATCTACTATTACTGGTTTTAGTTCCTAGGAGCATGAAATGTAACATTGAATGTGAATAAAATGAATCAGAATTATTTAGAAACCCCTATATACATGATTTCTATATGTAGTGAATATGCAAAATTTAAAATACCCTATATGCATGGTTTCTAGGTGAAGTTTTGAATATACAGAATTAAAAAGTACCCTATAAGCATGTTTTCTAAATGAAGTTTGCATATGCAGAATTTAAAACACCATATAGGCATGTTTTCTAAATGAAGTTTGAATATGCAGAATTTAAAACGTCTTATAGGCATATTTTCTACCCTTGCATGCATATTACCCAACCCTTTTTACTAGACAGCCCCAAATGTTTATTACAATTTATTACAAACCAGAATAATAAATTACATTAGAAAAGTACAACCAGAGGAAGCCTGATTCTTGACTTCCTCTTTGAGTTATGAGATAAACAAACTCAAAGACCATTGATCCAAAGCCTTTCTTCAGACTTGAGTGTGTCAGAGTTCCCTAAGGGCCTCA